GTGAGCTCCCTGACTTTTCTGCAGCTTCCACCACCCTGATCTCGCCTTCTCCTCCTGCTCGTTCCTCCACCTTCTTCTCTGCCTGACCCTCACATGAAGCCACTCCCCAAAGACCCACGCCCAGCCACTTTTCCTTTTTCACTCAGGAAGCCCCATGGCGGGGCAACCTCGCCTTCATCTGTGCAGTGTACCCACTGAGTGGAAGTTTTCCAGACAGCATCAAACTTCATGCTCTCCCCTGGTTCCAGCCTCCTCAAAAGTTGTGGCCAAAACGTTCCTGGCCCCTCTACATACTCTCAGAAGCTGAGCTCAGAAGCTAAATTACCATTCCTTCTGGCACAAAGACCTGGAATCTTCTTTACTTGTCTCTTATTTCCCGTGTCAAGGCAGTTGTTCAGTCCTACTCTATCCATAAAATTCTCCTTTTGGTTTTCCATGCTTTTGTGAATGCCCTAATTAGAGTCTTTTAAATGTCACCAGTTCCACTCTAAATGCTTCTCTCCTCTTCAACACCCTCCTAGAAAAGCCACTTGAACGATCCGACAGAGCATATCACTGATTACTAGGGCACCTCTTTGCCCAGTGACTCTCAGGGCCTGCAGTGAGTCCAGGGGTCTTACTTTTCTCTTGCTCAAGACTATCTGCTAAAATCTCCCAGCCGGTCTCTTTCCCAAACATGGCCAGTCTTCTCACTACCCATGATGGGTCCTATTGTTCTTCGAGGTCCAATTCAAGAGCAATCCTAAATGCTCTAGAAGAAAGCAAGCTAGGCATTGTAGGAGGCTAGTAAGGGACGCGCCCTCAACTTCTCACTGTTGTGCAGTCGTTATTTAATGGTACAAAAGGGTATCAAGTGACTGTTAAGAGTTCATGTTCAAATACCACTCACATATTAATTAGAAGCTTGAATATCTAAGCAGTTTTAAGAACACTAACAATATTGGTTATTAATGTAGAGACCATTTACGGAGAATTTATTGTGTACTTCAAATACGCTGCTACGTACATAT